GCATCAAACGTGACAGCAACAAGGAAGGTAGCCCCAGCTCTTGGACATCCCCTGGTTCCTCATCCCAAGAAGCCAACTCAATTTTGATTTCCTTTGCTTATCTCCTGGAAAATGCTACTTTTTACCCCCAGTCTACTTTGGAAATAGCTAGAAAAAGYCCCATTCCATTAACCATACTTCTTGCCAAAAGCACATGTAAATTCTTCAATTCTAGCAGGAGACAGTTGACACAGTTATTTAAACCCAACTGGAGATATCTGCTTGTCTTTACCACATAGAGATAACACAATTTTTAAAAAACTAGCTCAGAGGAAATAATCCTTGAKCCTAAGGTAGCCAACGTGCAACTAGAGAGTCTCGTGGTGAGAACTTTATCCCTCTGCTACCCACTAAGATCATGCAGCCCAAAACAAAGTAGAGCAAGTACCTCAAAGAGCAGCATCAAAAAGTTCCTGTCACAGCAGGCTTAACCAGCAGCTTCTCCACACAGTTTTGCAAAAATCCACGTCTTGACAAAAACCAAGGCGATAACACAAGTAGTCTTAAGAAAAGCAGTAATTTCAAAAACCTTGAGAGAATTAGATGYCCTGCCCCATTTTAATGCATTCCTGCGCTAAGGAAGAAAAAAGTAATCAAGCTCCCAGGTGGCTGCAGAAGTKGAGACATAAAACAGAGGATGAGACACAGAACAGAGGAGTAGATAGAAGATCCATATAGCTTCAATGGCCGGGGACGACTGTATTCATACTCCACACAATGGTGCCGCAGTTGGACACCGACAAYGCAGGTGCACAAGCACCTTCTGTGGCAGCCACCAAAACGCAACAGCCAGCAGCACCGCAGATGCAAGTCAAACAGCAGCCATTAAAGCCACTTATAAGAAGRTTGCAGTAAACTGCTCTTATGAAAACCACTATCAGCTAAGGAGCAGTGCTGAAAACTTCCCTGCCTCTCCCTCTCCCCCCCACCTCTCTCTCTCTCTCTGTGTATATGTATATATAATTCTGCACACATATACACAGTGCTCATCTAAATTAGCTCAGAAGCTAACTACTTCATTCCCTGAATTGCCCTTTAAACGGCTACACTGCTTGCGGAGCAGCTATTGTACAGCCCACATGGCTGCTGGCTAAATCAAGATACACACCTTGGAGAGACCTCATTGTGCAAGAATAAAGTCAATGATAGGCTGCACCATTTTCCAGTGTAACACTAGAAGAATTAGGGGGRAAAAAAAAAAAAAGAAGTACCGCAAAGCATCAGTTGTATCCAAGGTTATGGAAAGGGCAGGATGCTGCTTCAGGAAAGGGGATGCACAGCTATTCATAACGCACTGATGGCAAAGTTACATGTGTCATTTCCTGCCACCACTCTGCTGCATAATTTTGAAGAAATGAAATTTTGGCATAAGAGGAGGAACATCCTTCTGAACTCTAATGCAAGAGATTAAAAAAACACTAGTAAGAGAATAGGTACCATGGACAACGTGACMCCTTGCTGCAGGGAGGACACTGAGCAAGCATGAGCTTTGGGATGTTATTTTAGCTGCAAGTCCACGCTGCAGGCAGGAGGGGCGAATTGAGGAATTACACATTTACTGACTGTTCAGGAAGGATYAAATCCTTCCCTGCTCTTGCCTCCACAGCTGCCTTCAAGCGCATGCAAGCGGGCAAAGCCAGCGCAAACTCCAGGCAGTCCCGGCGCTCGCGGAGCATCCCTGGGCTCCCACTACCCCCTAGTGGGCTGGCACGCGCTTCCCGCACTCCACTTGCTCGCGGATCACGCGCGCTCGCTCTCAAGGATGCGAGCGGCTTCCTTCCGCACATGTGCCTCCAGCCACGCCAGCACGGCGCCAAGAACACGGAGCAGAGGAACTGCGTGGGAATCTCCTTCCAGGGATTTTTTTTTTTTTTTTTTTCCCGAGCATCAGTGATGCAGTAGCTGCAGCAGAAGAGGTTTTCCTGCTTTTCCAAAGCTCCTGCTGCTGGCCTGGGAAGGCAGCAGTGCTCACAGCACTCGGCAGCTCGAGATGCTCAGCATGGGGTCAGCCCAAAGGTGGTTAATCCAAGCTGCAGCTCTTGGAGGCAGTGAGTGTCACAGARTCCCAGCTCATGTGGGGTTTGGAAAGGGATTTAGGCTCACCCCAAAACAAAAACAAGATAAGAAAAGCTAGAAGTGCCTCATATCTCAGTTTTTCAGGGCATCAAGAGTTGCTTCATACCTGATTTTAAGGAAAACCAATGCAAAGCACCGCATACCTTTCATACCAACCACTGACTTAAGGCATCTGTCTGGCTCATTTGCACTCGAAACATCCTCCCTGCCCCCAGCCCCAAAGGCAGTTTCACACAGCTGCAGAAAAGGCACCTGCAAACCTTTAGCTACAGGTCTCTCACCCTCCTTTAATACAGAGTGACAAGGGGCACAGGGGCCACACCAAAACTGGGAGTCMTCTTGAGCAGGGGAACCCTTGAGCGGGTCTGGAGCTCCACACTCTGCCTCCCTGAGCAGCATCACTCCTTTAAACCAACTCAGCATCGGGACACAGAGGAGCCCCTTTAGTGCCACTTTCATGCAAAATCCCCTCCAGATGCTGTTTGGAGTATCTGGCCTGAGGCGGGCACTTTAGAAGGTTTTTCTAACACATCCCTAACCCCAGGAAGCCAGAAATTCATCTTTGCTAGCAACAAGAGCCTGCATGCAAAGACAGTAAGAAACCTTCACCACTTCAGCTCTTAAATACTCTGARCTCAGGCCTGAATACCTGCTAACCACATTCTAGCGACAAACACGCACGTAACATCAGAAACTAGCTAYTGATAAGGGTTATTGAAAGTTATTTTTCATGCAGGGAGAACAAATTGCTCAATGCAATCCCTGCCTACTAGTCTATATATGACACTACTTTCACCTCTAAGAGCCTATATCAGGTCACACTCAAGGCAGTATCAGTTTTAGGGTCCGCAACTACTGCCGAGCTTAGGAAAGGCTGCAGCATGAAAAAACAATCCTGTACTATTTATTGCACTAGAAAATGAGCATMCAAACCAGCAAAAACGCTCCAACGCACTCATCCAGAAAGGAGCTAAGCATATCTGAGACCCGGTTGCCATTCCACTGGAGAAAAAAAAAAAAATGCAGCAAATTTGAAATATCAGAGCAGCCACAGCAATTCATGAGCTAGACCTTGGGGAAGGACAAGTGTTTTACCTTCTTTTAAGGCAAGGTGCTGATTAATTTCAGAAATGCGATGAAGCCATCCCACCATRGGTAGAGCCTCAATTTATCTTCCAGCATGCCTGGCACTGGGGGCTTTGGGGAAAGGACGGGTATACGTGGGGTCTTTAGTCCATCAAGGSACAGCAAACAAAACAGTTTTGCAAGAGACAGTACATGTTTAAGAGCACACAAATAATCAAAATCCCAAGCAAGCAAAAGAGATTTTTTTAGCCCGAGACACAGTCTCTCTGCCAGCAGTCACTCACAGAAGGAGGATTTGCCACACAAGATCATCTCTCTGATCTATCAAGATGAATTTCTCTCCTTTAACATGAGCTACTACCCACACTCTACACAGAGGAGTTCTTTGCCTTACGATATATTTAGCCCAGTGTGCAATTCACACCCAGTCCCTGAAGAAGCTGTACTCTAACCTGAAAATTCAGGGCAGTGAACCATGAAACTTCCCCTTACTCTTAATCATTATAAGGCAAATGTCAATCTTACAGCATCAAATCTTTGCTTCTCACTTTTATTGCTAGAAATAGAGTATCTGGTTTGCTTGGGATTTTTGTGGTTGACCAACCATGTCTAAGGAAGGCAAACTGCAGAGTCAGAACCAAAGAGATTCAGTTCAAGAAGTACCACCAACTTACTTATGGCAGGCACGCACAAGGAGAGAAAGCTTCACAGAGCGCAAAATGAAAGGCCTGGGAACCCCGATCATTCTCKTACTGTGGTACACGATGCTCAGTGAAACAGCGGCCACTTCCACAGGGCAAGGGAACAGACCCACACCTCGGTCCATTGCATGGGAAATAACCTTGACACACGAGCTGCACACAAGGATATGCAACACACTGGAAGTCACAATGTGGCTGCGTTAAGCAGCAYCTCAGACATGAAGTTCAGTAGGTACTCAGTGGATAAGGAGGAGCTGTATAGAGATCAGCAACAAACCCCTCAGTGATCTGCACGGCAAACACCAAGCTTTCCATGCAGAATCCAGAGCGGTTCACTTTTGCCGAGCGCAGCAAGGCAGGTCAACACACACAACAGGATAAAAGTGACAAGGTGCAGCTCAGGTACCCCATGTAAAAAGACAAGACCAGGCACTCACATGAAAGTACGACAACATAAATCTTCCTAGTCSAACTTCCATCATCCTCCCCTTCCTAAGTCGGGGGGTAAAAAAATACACATATATATGTATATGACAATATGAAATATGGCATAAGTCTGCAGACATTCTGCAACAGACCCAGCAACCGGAGTTGTGCATGAAGCAAGACGAGCACTTATAAATTCAGCCTCCTGCTAGACAAACAGTTCCTCCTTCCCTGCCAGGCTCCGCTGTAGCTTCTCTAGGGTGAAGTGTCTTAAGTTGAAGTACGAGAGACAGCATCCATCACTTTATAGCCTGGGTGAAGATGCTTTACTCGCAGGTCTGTCTTTTTTATTTAAAAAAATAAAAAAAATAAAATAAAATAAAATAATAAAAAAAAGCAACACAGCAGCCTCCAGGCCCTGATCTACAGAAAGGGAAACTACCTCCCCAGCAGAGAAGAGGGGTGCATGCCAAGGCCAAGGGAGGGGGGAGAAGCTGCAGCCCTCACGGGTCGAGAAGCCCCAGGTGCTCCGCGAGGTCGCGCGCGCTGCGGGGGAGCCCCGGGGCGGCCGCGGGGACCGGAGCGGCGCCGGGGGAGGCGGGCACGGAGTGCGGCGGGTTACTCGGGCTTGGGGAGGGGGGAACAAGCCGGTCCGGGCCGTCGCGCGCCTACCGAGGGTGAAGAAGGGCAGCTCGGTGTTGTCCAGGTCGTCCTGCACGGCGACGCGCCCGGGCAGCTCGTTGCGGACGAAGAGCATGAGGCGGGAGTCGGCGGCGGCGGCGGGCGGCGGGGCGCCGCTCCAGCTGATGTCGTTCTCGCGGAGCACGGGCAGCGTGGACACCGTGACCGTCTTCACGCGGCACGGGCCGGCGGGCTCCCGCGACGCCGCCGAGCCGGGCCCGCCGCCCGGCAGCGCCAGCAGCGCCAGCAGCAGCACCGAGGAGGCGGCATCGCGGC